GAAATGATGAATGCTGGAAGGGTTGCTATTCTCCAGGTGAGCAAGGAGACTTGGGCTCCTGGTGCGATTATTGCTTTCAATAAAAGTCCTTATATCTGAATCTGTCTTTGAAGATGGCACAGCCACAGCCTGCCCTTCTTTTTCTTGAATTGCCATCAGCTCCACGATGGATTTGGTTTCTCCAAATCTCAGGAACTGCTGAAGGGTAATGATCTCTTCTTCCCTGGACATGATGGCCCAGCGGTCCAGCACCTTGCCTGCAGCATCCTAGAGGCCATATCAAAGAAACAACAAAGACAAACACAAAGAAAAAACTTATTGATTCTGCATAATTATTGAATTCAATAGAAGGTGCTCTGCTGCCTGAACATGAAACACTAAGCTCAAAAATCAACATGCAAACAGCGTTAATAGAACTTGACCAAAAAATGCAAACTTTCCGGCCATGCAAATACAGTAATTAGAGTCATAGTCAGAGAAACAGATTGAGTTTAATAATGTCTGAGCAAACAAAATGTAGACCACGGGGCTCTGTGATCTAAAATGCTTTCAATACTTTTATTTTAACAAGTGATCTATGTACAATGCTATTGTTTAGCATACACTATCGTAAAACACGAACTGTTGCTGTGCACTCCCATTGTAAAATATAGAAAATTGTACCTTAATCACTATTAAATGGTGACACTATAAGAAAGAGCTAAATAAATGCATTTGATAGATTTGCTTCTTAAATATAAGTAGACATAAGACTGAAGTTACTCATGGGCCATGTCACCAGAAATTTTGATGCAAGGCACAAAGTCTTAAAAATAGCACATAATACTTGTAACTTACTCCTTTTTTTTTTCTTTTTTCTTTTTTTTTTTCCCATGACAGCAATACTGAAAAACATATTCATTATAAACTTGCATCAAAAGGTAGAAATTGGGGGACTGGTTTTAAGCATAACTGGTCTATTACAGACAAGTGATTATAAGTTTGCAATCTTGGTACGGTTTAGACTTAAGAGATGACTTTTTTGCAGCCTTGTTATAAACGACAGTTAAAAACATGTAAAAAGTAAGCATCTGATGGATGTAGATAGCATAAATGTGTAAAAATGTTGTCTCTTAACATTGCCTTCTGATGCAAGGGAAAAATCCAGAGGGAATACACATCAGTAATCACTAGACTATCTGTTGTTAAATATACATTAAAAAGCATTTCACACTTTCATTTTTGCTAGTAAGCATGAGATTTGCCTGAAGGTAGGACTTAAAAATTCTGCAATGTAATGTCAGGCAATCCATTCCAGCATGTATTGATAAAAACATATTAAAATACTTATATAATGAATACATCACTTTATTGGCATCTTTCCTTTTGGGCAAATGCTGGACATAACATCAGCACGGTAACTATAACCAACAAGCACTGTTGCAGGCCATCAAACCAGAATCACTCCAGTGCTTCCTCATGCATTAAACAGTTTGAAAGCCTTGCAAGATACTCCACCATACTGTCTCTGATCTTTTTAAATCTTGAATCTGAGCTTCAGAACTTTATCCGAACACTTTGGACTACACACTATTGCAAGAACCACTAGCTCTTGTTTGATTATGAAGCCTGCAAATACCTTTCTTTTTTTTTCAGGTCTTATTTATTTATTTATTTACGTTATTGTCTTCAGAGGATTAATTCTTCTCTCCTCTTTTATTTTCTAGAATACTGGAAAATGCAATTTGCCCCAAATAGTAGAGCATATATTTATTTGATTACAGCTGGTTTTATTATTTCAGTTCTGATCTGTGTCACCTCTCTGGATCCAAAGATAATGATGAAGGTCAATGCCATGTATGATTCCGTACCTTAGACGCAACTGTAAAACCTTTAGAAAGGCTCCACACATGACCGTTCACAATCAAATCTTACAAGACTATGAAACCCTCAATAGCAATTAATTACAGAAAATCTTACCCAGCTGACCCAGATGGAAAGCCCCATAAACCATCTCTATGCAGAAAATGTTCAGCATGTGATGAAGGAAACACCATGATGCAGATGCTAGTCTGGTTTGCAGCATTAGTCAGGAAATCTCCCCACCTTTGAACACCTTTAAGCACTGTGGACATCTCTAATTTCTATGCCCTCCCAGTTCTACCTCTCTGATGGAGCAGTATTTTACAGACAGTCAGTGTTATCTAACAGAAATCATCCAGAACATCAAAAAAACCCCACCCAACAACGAAACAAAGTGAAACAAAACAAAACAGAAATGGGGCGAGGGGAGGGAGAAAAAACCCACCAACACCACAAACAAACAATTAAAGGACAGGTTCATATTTTAAAGCTCTAAGATTATATTTTTTTCCCATCCAACTAACTTTGGCTGCTCTCCCCGTAAGTGTGACCTAAAGCTTCTTACATCTACTTCTCCCACAACTTCCAGCCAGCCATACCGGTTCTACGTTTGAGTAGTTCCTACCTGGAAATGCAAAACCAGACTCCGTTCAGGTTTTGGTCTCCAGGCCTTTGCTGTCACCTCTGACCCAATATATATGCACACATTTCTAATCCCAAGTCACAAGTATTCGTTCCTTCTAACTGTAACTTGCATTGTTTGAAGATGGAAATAACATCGTCTAATTTACACTGCTTACATGTATTGAATTAGGACTCCTGTCTGCAGCCAGCTGCAGGCTGCTTTGTAATGTACTACTGGTAGTAATTTGTTTTGTTTTTGCTTTAATTTGTAAATCACTCACAGGCTTATGTAGCAGATGGATGCTTTACAAAAACAGATATTTAAGTAAATAAAAATTAAATACAGCCAGCACGACAATAACTCATGAGAATAGTAGGTACAGATCCTGTAACAGACTCTCACACGTAAGCGGAGGGTGGTACCACACAGTCCCTCACCCAGCAGCAATGCACCCAGCTCTTTGCATGCACAGAACAGGCAGACATCATCTAAATGTGGAGGCTCCCAGTATGCTTTCGGGGATTTATTCCACAGCTTAAATCAGAGAAGCCAGCAGTTGGCTACAAGAGCTACCTCTCACTGAGATGCCACCACTCCTTATTTCATTTAGTTTAAGGATTTGCAATGAGGAGGGCCAGACCTTCAGCAGCTGCTAAGTCCTACTGATCAGAGAAACTGGCAGTCACCAGTGTGTCGTTGTCATGGGGTTAACCTTGCTGTTGTAGATCAGCAGGGAATCAGAAAGCTGCTCTTAAATGATCCTTACCTACTCCTACTAGTTATATCAAGCTTGTTAATTTTCAGCAAGAAGTTGTTTGGCTTCCCCCCGCCCCCAGCAAAAGGAAAGAAAAATTGCACAGATGCCTATATTTCATAGAAAACACACTACTTATGGATACTGTGTAGCATATGCTTCAATATTTACATAGTGATGGCTTTCCATAAATCATTGTAAGTATGTATTATGCAAAACTAGATAAAGAGTGAATAGGAATGTCATTTTTTGATAAAACTTAAAATTAACAAAAAATCTAACCATTATCCCCTTTGAATTAAGCTATAACTAGCTAGGGATCTCTCTGTATATGGTAATACTTGATTAGAGGTTCAAGTCCTTTCTTACATGTAATCGATTTCTTGTTTCTTACAATCTCTCATGCTAAATTTTCTCCCCAAAGCCATTAAATCATATCCACATTTAAATATTTCATGACAAAAGGTTCCATTTTATATTACTTTTTTCAGCTCACAACTGATTAAGCCAAGCCTCCTGTGACAATGCGTACAAGGAAGTCAGTGAGTATAGAGATACCACTGCACGCCTAAGCTCTAAGCCAGGCAGTAGACAAGTAAGCCCAACCCGTACAGCATACAGTGATGCTCTTCCTTCTTTGCCCATACAGCCCTGGTTTTATTTTTATTTTATTTTATATGTGTGGGTAGCTTTCTCACAATTTCAAATGCAGAAAATTTTAAAATCTCTAAATCATATTAAATTAACCTCCAAGGACTCATGACATAACCTTGAATCTTTTTCTAACTCTAAACACACACTTGACTCTATTATTTGTATAGATACGGATTCACATACACACATACTACATTACATCTATAAAGTAATGTCATGGTTAATCACACTGAACCTGCCTCCTCATTTTTGCTGACCGTATGTTAGGAAGAGATGTGTCAGGATATGTCAGGGTGCATCTTGTCTTAAGCTTCTGGGTCAGATAGAACAAGTGATGGGTGTCAAAATGATTATCTTGGATGATAAAAATAGGCTACAACAGAAGATGGACACAAAGATCAGTCTAATTTTTAGGAGCCTAATTGGGGAGGATTATGAAGATGAGTCTTCATTTCCTGAGGGCCTTTAGGCTTTACAAATTTCAAGCTTTCAATTCAGCTTTAAAACCTCCCAATTTAAAAACTGCCTATTCAGAAAATAAGGACAGTCTACACAAACATACACGATAAACATACACTGTAAACCTTGAACTTTTGTTATGAAATCAGTTGTTTTAAACTCTCACTTTGTGTGAGAAGCTCCATTGACTCCTGTGCCTGCATTACCTGCAGGTAATTTTATATGTTTACACTCACACAGACACACTCATACATACACATACACACCATAGACTTCTTGCAGTTCTATTTTTATCTTACTAATTAACTTCATGCCACAGGTAAAATGTATATATACACCTGGCTGAATACATAGTGAGAGATGATTATACAAGAGTTGAGATTAATAGAAAGGTTAAAAAAAGTTAAAATTGATTCTTAAACAAGCCTTATGTTCTAGGAAGCACTCAAGATTATTTTCGGGCACTGTTGTGATAACTTCTGAGAATCACTCAAAGTAATATAGAAAAAGAAAATGCTAGCCTTCATATTTTAGCAAGTTTGCATATGCACCGTAAACCGTCGCTTTTGATGCATATCAGCTAAGTATCCATGTTACAAAATATTACTTAGATACATGTTTGACTAAATAATTAAGCAAGCCTAGTATCACAAATCTTTCTTCTATAAGCCCTTATTAAAGAGGTATATATTTTCTAGCTGATCTCAAAGAAACATTTTGAGTGCAGCTGTAACAGTTGAAAAGCAGATTGAAAGATACTCATTTGGTCATACTATAATTGCAGAGGATGGTTTTAATTAGGGTGTAGACAGAAAAAACAATCAACATTTGTTTCTAATAAAGAAAAGCCTACATAATTTCCATGATTTAGGGTTTGTTATTTTTGTTTGGCTGAATTTCCCAGGAGCATCTCTTTGCTTCCCACTTAAATTT